TGACATCAATCAACAGCATTTGAGATATTTATAAAACCAGGAGGCAGATTGACTTCTATTCTCTTGACGATTTCACCGTCGAGTGAAAAGGTGGTGACTATTTGAACTTTTACTGTAAGAAAAAAACGCCATAGTAAGTTCTTATGTGGAAATTTTTTGAATTTACCACCTACTCCCTAAAATATGCTTCTGTCGACTGACAGATTTCTAAAGAAATCGTTCTTTCTTCCAAAGTATACTATTTTATGTGGTCCGCAGCGTCTTACAACGAAGTAGTCTCCTGATCATGATCAACCGTAGGCAGCACGCGCTATGGCTTTGGAAGAATTGTTTTAAGGGCAATTTGACAATGTGGCGCGTGGTTTCTGGCTCTCATGCGCATAGAATTCCTAGTTTGACCCGCTTTTGCTTTCTTAGCACTTTGCATTCTCTTGCAGAGGCGGTGGCAGCGATTTGGACGTGGAGATCGTGAAAAGTTCCAGGCAGTTCCCTAAGTTCTGCCTGTTACCTACCGTATCTCCACAACAAGGCTCTCCGCGCAGATTGGATGTGACATTTGTCTGTGACCATTTCAGTAACCCACCTGGAGGAGTTTAGGATCGTGATGTGCGACCGTATACCTATTTCCCCGTCACAGTAAAACACCACCATGCGAAATGAATATGATACTTGAAACAAATGTCAATTGACTCCCCCACCTCACACAAAGGCGAATCCAAAAGTTTTTAATTCTTTTGTCTTTGATTGTGAAAAAGTAACGTTTTCTAATGTGGAGTTTAAGAGGAATTGCAAAGTGCAATTTTATTCCTTTGTTACTTAACTTACCATAGATTCCATTATCGTACTCCTGGATTTTATCACAAACTTCTGCTATCTCATCGAACAACTCTTCAGAATACCAATCAACTTCATTTAGTTTTTGCATAGCGTGTACTCGCTGTAAGTGACTGCTGTTTTATACTCCAGATACTAGTACTGACACTTGCATAGAATATGATTACCTCAATCTTCCAAACATCACGGATCTCCCATATATTTTCCTCATTGTAAGTAGCTCCTGCTTTTGAGGATACACGCTTGAACAAATCTTGAACCTAAAAACAAGTATATTATAATTATAATTCCGCCTCCCTATGTTATCCTTGTTGTTTGTGTAAAAAGTTTTCAGTTTTACATTTAAATTTTTTTAACTTTCTAAGCATGCGTTATAGAATTAGCTATTATTTTGAATTGCTTCTTCCCACTACCATTTCTGCAACGCTTAGACTTGTTTTAAAATGTACAAATTGTGACTATAGCGTACTAAGATCCAATCATTTTTCATAAAAACTTCATGTTTGGAGAGTTCTTTATATACTTTATAGTAAAGGATTTTTGCCGTCGCGAAGCTTTCATATCATTAGACTACCAGTTTAATTCAACTTAGATCACCACCTTTATTGCAAAGTTTCACCAAGTCTGCTAGCTTCATTATAATACATGCGGGCAACAT